CAGTCAATGTGAGAAAGCTTTATATCTGTGCTCAGCCCTCTCCTTGTTCCATAAGAATTCACACAGAACACCTTCTAAATGCTCTCATTGCCAGTAGTGCTCCAGGCAGTGTGCACGTCTCATTGGACATCAGAAAACTTGCACTGTGGAGAAGATCCAACAAGTGTGAGAAAAACTTCTAACAGAACTGTTGACTTTCTTTCCCATCAGAAAATCCATACTGTCAGAAAATTCTGTGTTTGTCTTGAGTGTGGCAAAAGCATCAGTTGGACAGCCTTCTTGAATTTGCATTTAAAAAAACAAAAATAGGAGGAGGAAATAACTTACAAGTGTCTGGATGAGAAAAGCTGTCATAAAGATCAGAGCTCTTATGGTACACCAGGGAACTCAAATAAGTTCTTTTAAAAAACCTTTAAATATCTTGAATCTGAAAAAAGCTTTGCTGGAAGTTCTTGTCAGGGCCCCAAAGAACCCACTCTACAGAGAATTTTATTCCAGTGAGAGATCTAATTATGGGTGAGAATCTGTGTATATATAATACGTACGAGATGGACTGTTCTCATAGTTTAGTTAACACATACAGTAGAGATGACTTTACATGAAATCAGTGTGGAAACAGTTTTTTAGATACCTGGAAGCTTGTTCTGGGAGAAGTGAGGGCAGGTCAGAGTAGGCCTGATCGGTAACTCAGGTAAAGATGTTTTTCTTTTATCTGAACCATTTAATGATTGCTTTGCTTTCCTTTTTTTAATTCAGAAATCCAACAAAGCCAAGAACTAACCAAAAAAAAAAAGTGTTCAAAAGGAAAGATATTGGTTTAAGGCCTTACCCAAGCCATGGTATTTTTATATGCATGTGAAATACAGTGACTCTAGCAGAAACAATGTTCAAGTCATGGTGTTGGAGAAGAATATTAAAAGTACCATGGGAAGAAGAGGGAAAAAGTGTAGCTTAAAAGAGGGAACGAATCGTTACAGCAAGGATCATTCCCACCCCCTCTGTACACAGGGTTGACAGAGAAAGGCAACTTGGACATTGACTACTCAAAATGGGGGGCTACAAAGGCACAAAGAAACTGGCTTATAAGTTTTCAAGAGGAAGCTTAGTTTCAGAGGGAGCAGGGGGGAAAGGAGAATCTCCACTGAGTGGCTTCCAACCTGTCTAGACAGGGCTGGTGAAAGGACTCTTGTGATTCAATAGTGAATAATTGCCATCAGGACTGATTGTGAATGTTGCAAGTGTAAAGGCAGACGTTTTGTAACAAAAGGAGGGGAGTGGTTGATCTTGCAGTCCAGGAGCGGAGGACCCTGGGACCATAACGGAAGAAACGGAGTGTAGGACCCTATCCAGAGAAGCAGCAATGCCAGAGATAGAGGCAGAGACAATGATGTGGAGAGATGGAGCAGCTGGGGACTCTAGACTCGAGGAGGGAGAGAGGCTGTGTGCTGGTGGTTGGGGAGCAGGCTTGCAGGGTACGTCCTTTGGGTTGTTTGAATGGTTATGTATTCCTGAGTGCTTTGGTGTACATCAAAAAATAAACAGAGAATGGAAGCAAATGCTGTTGAATGATGATGCATGGAGGGGTTATAATCATTGCAATGAAACAAAATATGATAGGATGACTATAAAGCTGATGTTCTCCAATGTAAACCATCACTCAATTCACAATAAAAACTTTAGAAAAAAAAAAGTACCATGACTGTCAAAACACAAAGAAAGCTGTGTTGGATGAAATTAGTCAAAATGCTCCTTAGAAGTCAGGTTGACAAGACTTTGTATCTCAAACTTAAGACATGTTATCAGAATGAACCAGTCCCTGGAGAAGGACATCATGTTTGGTAAAGTAGAAGGCCAGTAAAAAAGAAGAAGACTGCCATTGAGATGGACTGGCACCGTGGCAGCAGCAATGGGCTCAAGTATAACAATTGTAAGGATGGAGTGGACGGAACAGTATTTTGTTCTGTTATGCATAGGGTCACTATGACTAGGAACCAACTCAAGGGCACAGAACAACATTTGAAGCACTGTTTTAATCTGAAGCTCTAGGCCAGCCCTTCTCAATCGAGGGTACTATGAGATAATTAATCCCTAGCACCCTAAAATATCCATAATATGTAATTAATTAATTTCTCTCTTGTGCTAGTCATGACTCAATGTATAAAAAAAATATTAAATAAATTCCCCAGGCCCAGGAGCTGAGAATAGTAGATTCTAACATATAAAATTCCAAAAGAGGTTAGCACTGAAAAAGAATTGGACTTGAGTGGAGTTGGCATCCCCTCCACAAGGCTGGCAATAAAACTTAACAGCTGCAATAAAAACTTCTGTTAACTTAGAGCTAATTATACAAGCTTTCTTTGTTCCTTTTATAGATCAAAATAACTCTGTCTTTGGAACCGAAATGTGTAGGCATCGAGTATTAGCTTTTACAAAATATAAGCACTGTGTTAGCAGAGTAGACAGGGATGGGCAACTTGGACATTGGCTACCCAAAATGGGGGGTGGGGGCTACAAAGGCAAGAAGTGACTGGCTTA